TCACTATAGTAACCCCATGAGATGCGGTTATTATCTTTACAGACACAGAGACCAAGGCACAGCGAGGCTCTCGGACTCGTCCAAGGTTGCACAGCCAGCCAGTGGCTATAACATGAGGAGGTAAGCAAGATGGCAGCATAGGCACACACGGGTCCCTACCCACACAACCACATCAAAACTACAACTAATCTATAAACAACCATTAATCAGAACTGTCAGAAATGGAGCTGAATGGAAGTCCCACAACTATAGAATTAAAGAGAAAACTACACCTAAACTGGTAGGAGGGGCAGAACAGCGCTGGTCCCACACCTGCATGTGGCAGAGAAGTATCAGCAGAGATATCTAAGGAGTGAAGGGTCCCAACTCCAGACCCAGGTCCCCACCCCAGGGATTCCAGGGCCAGGAAGGTAAGTCTCCATCACTTCTGGCTGTGAAAATCAGTGGGAACTGAGGCTGTCGAAGACAGAAATGGCTGGACCCTTTAGCAGGTATAGACTTACTCAGATTCAGTCCCTCTGAGCTGTAGCATGGGGGCAGCCATTGAAAGGCATCAGAGACGTATGGGGAGGAACTGAATTGTCTGGCTTTAGGACGAGAGCTGGGGGCAGCTTTCAGCCAGACAGAAGGGCTGGCGGAGGCCACTGTTCCTTTTCTGAGCCCCCCCCACACAGAGCCACAGAGCTGGCAGGCAACACCATATCTGAGACTCCATCAACCTGGCCCACACTGTTTGCCCCGCCCTGGTGATTCCCTGAGGCTTCACCCCACCCATCTCTCTGGCCCAGCCAAGCGGTTTTCAGTTGCTTTTCCATATGTATGAGTTGTCTTGGCTCATGGTTCAGGTTTTCCTAAATTATCTTAAATAAGCAGTATCTGGCTTTAGCAAGCCCTGTACCTCTCACTAAGTTGCCCTAGGCCTGGCCTTGGTTCACCTGGGCACCTTCAAGCCCAGCACAAGTAGTAGCCACTTGCAGATGGCTCTGTAGCTTGAGGTGTGTGACCCCAGAGAGAACACAGCTGGCAGCTGACCTTGGCATGCCAACAGCAATCAAGGCTCCACTACAACAGGAGGGAGTACACGGCCCACATAGCAGGCACACCTTGAGCACCAGCTTGGGTGATAGAGGAGGCTGTGCCACTTGACTCTACAGGACACCTACTATATCAAGTCACTTTACCAAGCCTGGGAGACATAGCTGCTCTAATACATAGAAACAAACATAGGGAGGCTGCCAGAATGAGGAGACAAAGAAATATGGCCCAAAACTTCAGAAAAAGAACTAAACAAAGTGGAGACAAGCAATCTAATAGATGCAGAGTTCAAAACACGGGTTATAAGGATGCTCAGTGAACTCAGTGAGACTTCAACAGAATAAAAAGAGCAGAGAAACCATAAAAAAACAGTCAAAAATTAAGGATACACTAGTTAAAATAAAGAACATTCACAGGGACTCAACAGTGCAGTGGATGAAGCCAAGAATCAAATCAGCAATCTAGAATATAAGAAAGTAAAAAAGCATGCAATCAGAACAGCAAGAAGAAAAAAGATTATAAAAAATGATGATAGTATAAGGAGCCTCTGGACAACTTGAAGTGTACCAACATCCGCATCATGGGCTTACCAGAGGAGAGGAGAGAGAGGAAGAAACTGAAACCTATTTGAAAAAATATGACTGAAAATATTTCTAACTGGGTGAAGAAAATAGATGTACAAGTCCAAGAAGCACAGAATCCCAAACAAGATGAACCCAAATAGGCCCATCCCAAGACACATCATAATTAAAACACCAAAAGTTAATAACAGAGAATCTTAAAAGCAGCAGGAGGAAAGCAGTTAGTTACCTACAATGGAGCTCTTGTAAGACTGTAAGCTGATTTCTCAAAACAAACTTTGCAGGCTGGCAAGAAATCTTCAAAATGATGAAAAGCAAGGGCCTGCAACCAAGATTACTCTACCCAGCAAAGCTCTCATTTAGAATCAAAGGTCAGATAAAAAGCTTCTCAAAAAAGAAAAGGGTAAAGGAGTTCATCACCACAAAACTATTATTATGTGAAATGTTAAAGGGTCTTCTTTAAGAAAAAGATCAAAAATATAAACAAAATGGCAACAAATACCTATCAAGTAAATCTAAAAAACAAAATAAGCAGAACAGAAACAGAATCAAGAGAAATAGAGTCACAGATACAGAGAATGTTTTGATGGTTGCCAGATGGGAGGGGTTGGGGTAATAGGTGAAAACACTGAAGGGATTAAGAAGTACAAATAGGTAGTTACAGAACAGCCATGGGGATGTGAAGTACGGTATAGGAAATGGAGCAGCAGAAGCACACATATGCAAGAATAATGGACATGAACAATGGTGTGGGGAATGCGGGGGGGGGTGCTGGGTGGAGGGGGCAAAGGGGAGGAAATCAGGACAACTGTAAAAGCATAATCAATAAAATGTAATTAAAAAGTAAAAATAAAACGAGGAGCTAAGATAAGATGATTATGGAAGTCCATCCAGTTCAAATGCCACTGGAATTCCACTCGGTAGAAAGGTGAACAAAGGCCAAAACTGCTGATCAGATTTTCTTGAGGTTATGCCTCATAAAATAACACTAACATTAAGCTATACTCTGTTTGTCATGTTTTACATGATTTTATTCCTATACAGCTTCATACTCCATAAAGACGGACTTGAATAGCATGCTCCCCCCCGCAAAGCGGACTTCTGCTGCGGAAATTCTTCCCTGGACTGCATTTCACCGGGTGGTTTTCCGGAGCACCATGTCCACACAGGCATGGAGGAGCCGACTTGGGATGGCGAAAGGACGAGTTGGCCTTGGGCAGTCAGCATTTCCGACACAAGTTTAAAATATGAGCTATATGCTCTAAACAATGCCAAGAAAGAAGAACACTTTCTGTTAAAAACCCCATTTCCCAGGGAGGCAGCAGAGAGAGCCAGTGCGGGCGGGCCCTGCCCTGCGGTGACTGAGAAGGAGCAGCTTCGTGGGTGGCGGTGCCAACAGGTCGCCGGCCGCACGGTCCACTGACTTGCGGGTCCCTGCACAAGACGCAACTCAGCACCCAACTCTGAGGCCAATCCCATCTGTGGCAGGTGACAGCACGTGTGTCCAGTGAGCTCTTGTGCTGCGTGATGTGTCCTGTACCGAAGCGGAACGAAGGGTTCGAGCCCCTCCTCCGGAATGATAACCACACAGGCAAAAACGGTCAGACCGTGAACTGCCCATGTCAGGGGTTTTGAAGAAAAACTACGATATTTTGACACCTTAGGAAAGTTTTCATACAGGCATTAGGAAAAGGCCTTTTGACTCAATTAAAAAATGAGTGAGTTCTTCTTCAACAAATATAGTATTTTGCGTACAATTTTCCAATGGTGAGCTAGGTAATGCCTCAGAAACCATCACAATACCAAAAATTTCTTAAGGAATTCTGAAATATATAGCAGTCACAGCTTTAAAAATGCTTAAAGAGGGTCAGGCCAGGTTTTATTACGATTACCATGAGGACGAATATTTTGGAAAGACAGATTAACATCAAAACGCTTTTACTAAAATGAATTCAAATTATGGCTATATCCAAAATATGGACAATTCTTAGAAACATGGCGTTTAGTCAAAAGAGTAACTGCAGAAGGGCTACTTACAGCAAGACTGGGACCACACGTCCTTACCTGCCCAGCACCTGCCCGGTTTGTGCCCCTTGTCCTACTGCAATTTTAAGTAGCAACCTGTACATGCTCACAAGTGCCTCGGCTCAGACGAAGAGTTCTACAATTATTTTAAATCGGATGCAATTCCAGAAAGCTCAAAACTAAATAAAACTAACAATATGCACTCTATAAATGAAGTATGTAGTAAAACTCCCAAACCAAGAAGAATGAGTGAAGAGCATTTGGAGGCTGTCCGAGGCAGGGAGGTGCACTGGTTGCAGACCACACAGGGCCACACACGCAGACACCCCCCCACCGGAAACACCCCGGCCCCGAACCTGCACTGGGCAGGCGCTCACAGGTATTCGTTTGATAGTTATGCTTCAAAATTAGCATGTTACATAGGTGTGTGTATATATGTTCGTACATACATCAAACACCTCATAATACAGATAAAAAAAAATAAAAGGTGTGAAATGGTAAAAAGGGGTAAAAACTATCATTCTTACTTCCAAGATAATAGAATAAACTAGCAGAAAATTTATCAGCTATCAGTATTGATTCTGATAGGTTAGGAGAAAGTACTTTCTGGCAGCCACCTGTTTCGTGTTAACAAAATTCACAGAGAAAACAGCGACATCAAGTTTGCTGATAAAGGAAAGCTTGTTGCTTGGGTGGTTCAGTCTAAGACAGATGGACGAGGATGAGGCAAATGACAGACAGACAAACAGATAATCCCAAGTTCACAATACAGGAAGCAGGAAACCCAGAAGTGGTGTGGCCACTGAAACAGCTGAGCCCAAGACTTAATGGGAACATAAACGTCTTACATCAAAATCAGAAGGTAATGACTGTGTCAGCAGCAGGGTCTTGAATATGTGTCATCAAATTAAGACTCTGATAAGTACAAATACTGAATATATTTTAGAAAATAAGTGCCATGGTATAAATTAAGTAGAACCATACAAACTAAGGCCTAGACCTGTCAACAATCTCACCTCAGTGGTACTTAACAACAGGGGTCTTATTTAAAGGCATCATCACAAAATACCTGCTAAGAGAAACTAAGTAATTTTCTGGCGTAAGTTTAGGAAGGTGTGCAAACTGAAGGTACCACCGTGATTTTAACTGGGTGTTCACACTCACTAGTTGAGTATCTTTTGGAACTGGAACTCCTGCATGCTTCGGTGAGAAACAATTCACAAAGTGACGTTCCTCACATGTGTTCCTATCGCTAGATTTTTAAATAGCAAAAACGTACGGGAATGTGTGTTGCTACTGATAAATACTAGCACCGTCTGTCCTTCAGAGTAAAACAACCACCACTCAGAGAGAGAGTACCTGGAATACTCGCGGGGGAGATCGGGCCCGACCGCGACTGGTTGCTTCCCACGGGGGAGCCAACTGGAGAAGGTGACGGGCCCCCGGGGATGCTGGAGAGATGCGGGGACGCGTGTGGAGAGAAAGGCGACTGGGCCGGGTTGCTCTGGTCCCCCTGGCTGCTCGTGGACCCGGACGCACTGACTGCTGAGCTCAGGGTGGCCTCAGTTCCCGTGGGGAGGTCATCGATGGAGCCAGACAGGTCCTGAGGAAGGAAGGGAGAAAGAAAGCGCATGTGTTTACAGAGGACACTGCATATTTGGACCAATAACTGATCAAAACCATTTGAAAATCGTGACCACATCCCCCTTGCCAATGAAGTTTTCCTAGATGACATCCCAAATTCAGAGCGTGGCCACTTGTTATTAGAAAACTTTGATGAAGTCTCTTATAAGTTGAACCTGTAAGATCTGATCTATCCCTAAAAAATGAATAAAGCTGTACTCCACAAAACCAGCTTCGCCTTGAGCCAGGGGTGTCCAACCTGTGGCCCACGGGCTGCAGGACGATGGCTGTGGCCCAGGATGGCTGTGAATGTGGCCCGACACAAACTCATGTTCACTTAAAACATGATGGGATTTTTTGTGACTATGTGTCACAGTGTATCACAATCTGTGGCCCAGGACAACTCTTCTTCTTCCAGCGTGGCCCAGAGACACCAAAAGGTTGGACGGCCCTGCAAGTTTAAGCTGCCAGCCCCTTGTCCAACAAACCCTTCAAAGAGCCACCAGACACAGCCGCTAGGTGACAACTGACCATCTGAATGGAAAGCCTGACTCTCAAATGACCACTTCCTGAGCTGGCAACTGCAGGTTTGGATCTTTTCACTTAAAAGCCAATGCTGGCAGACTGTCTGAACTTCAAACTGGGAGACTGCAATGTACCAGCAGTCAAAATTTTAAGCAAAGCCTGCGGTGAAAAATCATCACATTTTAAGAAGTTACATAAAGGCCATTATAACAAAATAAGAGTATGTATTTTTTAAAAACAATCTTTACTTTAGAGAGAATTCACTTCACTTCACTTTTTTAGAGAATCTTCAATTCTCTAAAATCAATAAGGGCATGCTTATTGATTTTAGAGAAGAGAAGAGAAGAGAAGAGAAGAGAAGAGAAGAGAAGAGAAGAGAAGAGAAGAGAAGAGAAACATCGACGTGACAGGAAAACAGATCAGCTGCCTCTTGTACGCATCCCAACCGCATTTCGAACCCAGAACCTCCTGGTGCGCAGGATGACACTGTAACCAACTGAGACACCAGCCAGGGCATGATATATGTATTTTTATATGATACTGGGAAGATAAATCCCTTTGGAGTGTGTCAGTAGAATGACTCCTAACGTCATGCCTTACTTTTACAAGTGTTAAGCTACACAATTTCAATGTTATCTAAATTGTTCCTGACACCCTTGAAGGCAATTACTAAAACCCCCATTTGACAGATACAGAAACTGAGGCTCAGCATCAAAGTTACAGTTGAAGGTTACAGCACTGGGGGCGCACGGCACCTGCTGAAGATGAAGGAGGGAGGATGAGAGAGGAGAAAGGAGGAAAGGGGTTTTCCGCACACTCCAGAATGGCAGGAGGGCAGGGCTGACTTGGTACCACCCCCCCACCCCGAGCTGTGGCACACAGCCGGGGGCCACCACCTGTGGGTGCTCCGTAAGTCAGGGCAGGCCCGCCCTCAGGACGGGCCTCCTTGTCACTGGGTCTGCAAATACAGTGGAGGCCGACAGCCAGGTACTGAATGAGTCCCAAGGGCCGAGTTGCAGGTCCAAGATACCTGTCTCGATAACCAGGACTACCGAGTACAGCATGGAGTCAGAAACGCCACAGTCTCTAAGGCACCTTCAGTCTGAACCAGCGCTCACTGCTCTTTCAATGGTATTCATGCTTACTTTTCCTCACTGCCTACTCCTGCAACTTCTGAAACGAGGGCTTTGAACATTAGTGCAGGAAGATGCTTAGGCTCTGAAGAACGAATCTAGACAGGAAGTACCAAAAGGGGCTGGGAAAAGCAGAACTGGTTACAGGGCACCCAAAATGTCACAAAGCAAACTCAGGACCAAGATCCTAGTCTCCTGGAAAGCATATGATCATTTTATAGAATTAACTTCTCTTTTCCTAACATCAAAATTGCCAGTGATTAAAAAATATATTCTAGCCCTGGGTGGTGTGGCTCAGTGGATTGAGTGCCAGTTTGAGAACAGAAGGATCACCAGTTCGATTACCAGTCAGGGCACATGCCCACTCAGAGCAGGCATGAGAGGCAACCACACATTGATGTTTCTCTCCCTTTGTTCCTCCCTTCCCCTCTAAAGATAATAAAGTAAAAAATGCATCTTCTAAAAAGTAGCTGATGAAAATCTCACCAAAAAATGAGTATTTTAGAGAAACAAAAATTTCTTGCACTAAGAATAACATCTTTCCCAGTAAAATGGAGTACAATCCTCAATGCCACATAACTGTGCTTATGAATAACAAATGTAATAGTAACAGGGCAGACTGAAAATATCACCCCAGAGAAAAGTATCATTAAATCTTTAAACGAAAATGGGGCAAACTGAATTGTATCTTCAGGATTCAGAGAAAACCACTTTATGAACATTTCTGCTCAGAACACATGACATGCGTGACTTTGCATGGATTCGGCTGGTAAGTCACCGTATTTAACTGGATGGCTGCAATGGCTGGAACCAGACTTTCCAACAAAACACAACTTTGCGAATGAAGCCAGTAGAAATAGAGGAAGTTATCAAGCATGTACCATCCTACACACTGTGCAGAAAGTGTTCAGTCAGCACTCCAGGCGCTTCTCTGAGCTCCCAGAGACAAAACTTGGGCTCACGGGAGGGGTTGCACAGAACACTCTGATGCTCCAACGAGGACAGACAGGGCTCCAGACCTCCGCCCCCAGGCTGGCCGCTGGCTTCTCTGGGCCCAGCCTCAGAGCGGCTGTCCCTACCTAACCACGTGCATAGGGACACACTGGGACGTAGCTCTTTAAGGTGAGGCACCGCAGGCTGTGGTCTATGGGCTAGAACCAGACTCTGCCTGTATTTGCTCTGCCCACAAGCGAAACATTTTTAAATGACTCAAAAAGGAAGAAAAAAAAAGTAGCATTTTGTGATATATGAAAAACACCTGAATTCAAGTTTCGGCGTCCATAACGTTTTACTGGAATGCAGCTGCAGCCATTCCTCTGCCCTTGGCTGCTCTGGGGCTACAAGGGACAGCAGTTGTGACAGAGACCCTGTGGCCTGCAAGCTTAGGTACATGCTTGCTGGCCCTCCCCGGAGAAGGACGCAGAGCCCCGAGTCACAGAGCGTGGTGTCCCCGTGTGGCCGACCACCGCGCCCACCGCCTTCTGGGAACCAGCGCAACACGGCCCCAGCCGAACTGCACTGTGACCCTTGGAACAGCAGGCAATGTTCGTGCTTCCCCGAGATGGGACTGACAGGACACCCCCATCCCCCCACCCCGCATCAGGGTGAACGGGGGCTCCACACTGAGATACATTCTCTAATACCTAACGAATGTGTATCACCAATAAACAAAGGGGCGACCAGACAGAAGTCCGCTGGGAGGAAATAGGCTTTTCGTGCTTCTTTACAGAAAACTGGTTGAAAACGAGATATAAAGCCATTTTCTTCTAAAAGATTACACAGAGAATTGAACACAGAAAAGACTTAATTTTTTAAAAACATCATTACTTTAAGTTAAATAAGTCTTTGCATTAAAAAAACAAACTGTTACTTTGAAGTTTTTAAAGTTCTCCACACGACCTATGAATTCCTTCCCTATCTTCCCTTAAAACCGCACGTTGAGGTGGAAAAGCGATGTGGGCGGGCATTACTCGAGCTCCGTTCAAGCGGCAAAGGCACGAAAAGCATTTCTGTTATTCAACAAGCTGATCAAGAAAATATCAGGAGAGAAATATAAAAACAGTGGCTTTCCTAGTGTTCACATGTCATCAGAATTTCAGTACTGACTAGACCTCAGTGCAACAGAAGAGTAATAAAAATATATAATTTCTATGCTACTGTTATACACACACAGAACTTTGATATGTAAATTACAGGGAAATATTCCCACCCTGCAGACACTCAGGGCATCCATACGGATAGTTGTCTTACAACACGTTAATAAAAGAAGTTCAGCAGCGGTTTAAACATTCAGCCTCGTTAACAAAGAAGCTCTGTAACTAATACTCCTCTGGAGGACAATTCAGTCAGCAGGGCACCAACTCGATTCTTCTTTTGTAAGTACTATCAGATCTACGGGGCCTGTGAAGACAGGCGAGGCCTTACTGCATCTCATTCCAGGCCAGGCACCTTCAAACTACAGCGCTGGCAGCTCAGGTAATTGCAGGGAGGGCTCTTTTTAAGGGGCTGGAGTCCCCCTGCCCCGCAGCACTCCTTACATCTGCCTCCTCATTGACCGAGGGACAGGGAAGGCAGAGAATTCATGGGCTCCTGCAGAGTAAGTTCAGTATTTTACCATGACCATTTGATTTGGTGAAATCTCATGAGTAAGTTGGGTTTTTCAACATCTGACATCACTCACAATACGAAACAGTTTCCAGCACACTAGAAGTAATATATAACTCCTACTGCTAATGGTCCATTTATTTATTAACTCCATTCCTTAAAAAAAAAAAAAAAAAAGGCTGTTTTACTCTAAAACTTCTGCAGACTTTTCTCTGTAACCACCGTCCCTCTACCCTCTGCCCACGTCAACTTTTCATTCTAACCCAAGTGACAAGTACATGAGATCGCACTGGGCTTCGGATGAGATGCCCCCCAGGAGCAGTAACGGCCCTGGCGGACTCTGACCAGAGAAAACACTTAGGAATTGACACCGACCACGGATACGCTCCTGATCCAATCTGGTGGTGGAGGGAGGGCAGAGGCAGAGGAATGTACATGGGATATATTACCCACAAGGGGCACAGGAAGAATTCTAAGAAACCTGCATATATACAAAACAGACACACACAGTTAAGTATAAATATTGTCATGTCTACATACTACAGAGGATCCTCCCTACAAATTTTACATTAATACCTACATACACTGCAGGTTTTGACATTGTTCAATTTGTCTACCAAGTTGGCTTACTAAATATAACATCAACCACTGCCAGGGACATCTTACTGTCCCAAAGAACTGGAATGAGTTACAAACTTCTACTCCCTTGCTTAATTAA